CGCTCGGCTCCCAGCGATTGATTGATGATGATTTAATTTCCTAGACCAGACGAGGACCCCCCTGCCCCAGACACCTCCCCCGCCCTCCTCCCCGCCCCCCACTCCCCGTGCTCGCTGCGGTGGACCAGTCTGGCTTGGGTTTAGATCGTTCCCCCCCCACCCCCATCCCGAAATCATCCAGAGACGTCCCCCGCCCCCACCCCAAATTATTATTTTGAAGGCGCTAGATCTGGGGACGGGGAGGGGGAGGGGGAGAAATCGGAAACCGAGGACAACCCAAAAGGACTCACTTTGCCTGATGACTCAACGCAACTAATAATCATCTCCCTCTCAGTGCGTCTCTCTCTGCGGCTTGTCAGGGAGTCTGGCTCCGGCTGCTGGCGGCGGCGGCCCGGAGGGGAGAGGCTGGAGGTGACAGCTCGGGCGGCCGCCGCGCTCTCTCCCGTGCGCGGCCCCGGCTCCCTGCGCCGCCTCGGCTCCCGGTGGCACCGGCCCTGGGGCTCCGGCCGCGCCTCCTCGCGAGCTAGCAGCCCGGTGGAGCGGAAGCCCGGCCCGCCTCCCGGTCCCCAGCCCTTGCTCTCCGGAACGGGTCTCCTCCGCGGAGGTGCGAAGGGCTCTCTCTGCCTTGTCTCTGCTGCCCTCCTCTGCGGCCCCCTCCCCCGCTCGCTCGGTGCCCCTTCGGAGGAGCCTCCTTTCCCTCCCTACTCCCCTCCCCTTCCCCCCCAGTCATCCTCATCATAACTACCATCTCCGCGCTAGAAGGCACCCTGACCCGGGACCGTGCGCGGTGGGACCCGGGGCGGAGGCGAGGGGAAGCAGGGAGAGGAAGGCAGCCCCGGACCGCACTGCGAGGCGCAGCAGCAGAAACTTTCCACCCTGGAGTCTCTACTTTTGCTCCATGGACAGAGCCCCAGCCAGCCGAGCTACAGACAGACCGTGAGCAGTAAGTACGTGGCCGGGACTCCCGCGCCGCGTCTGGAGTTGGGAGACCCGGCTCCGGCTCCATTCCCTGCCCGCCGCGCAGCCCCGGGGCCGGGGAGCACTAGCCCCGGGAGTGCGGGCGAAGTGTCTGACCGAAGCCCTGGGGCTCCGTCCCTGCGGCGCGGGCAGGTCCCCTCTCCCCTCCCCGCGGCCGCCCCCGCCTTGTCCCGGGGAGCTGGGCGCAGTGGCTGCTCCCGCGGCCGGAGCGCCGGAGAGGATGCCCGGCGACTCCGCGGTGCCCGGCTCCTGCTTCTCGGGGTGTCGCGACAGCGTGGTGCCATTTCATCAGGTGTCTCCTCCTCCTCCTCGTCCGCTGCCCCCCCCAAAATCCAGGGGTGCCGAGATCTGTGGGTTCCCCGAGGAGAGCGCTGCCAGTCAAGCGACCCGGAGGAAAACTTTTTGGAGAGATTTAAACATGGGGTTGATCAAGGCTCGCCCTGGCTGCATTAATTTAAATGCTTTTATTTTTGTTTTTTTGCTTTTGGATTTTATGCTGAAGAGCTTTTTAAAAAAGTCACATGGGATCGTTCGAAGATAAGAAAGTTCCAACATAACAATTGTAGCCCCGCCCTGGGGATGAAGGTTGTTGGGGGTTATTCAGACGAACACCTCCAAATGTTTCTGGATGCTTCTGACTGTGAAATGAGGGTTGATTTTGTGCAAAGTGTGTGCGCGCCTCGAGACCGGCTCGGGGAAGGTAACACGCAGGGGTTCAGGGCTCCTGTTGCCAGGCCTTCGGCTCCTGCCCAGGAACTGCGCCTTCACCGTGTGGTTCCTTTGGTGTCTTATAGGCTGTGCGCACCCCACCCCGCAGTGAGTCGGTGGGATGCCTTTCTAGGAAGTTCACTTTGTCCACAACCCCGACCCCCGACGGCGGAGCTGTGGCACCCGGGACAGTGGATGCCAACCCCTTCCAAGGGGCCGCTGCTTCGGGGCGCCCCTGGCGCGGGCCCCGACGGGGTCCGTGCGGGCCTCTTCCTGGGCAGCAGCGCCTGGTGGGGTAGCGTCGCAGCCCTCGAGCCCCGGGGCTCCTTCGGGCGAGAGGCTGGGACCGGCTTCCCGGCCCGGGCCCCCGGCCGCGTGGGAGGAAGTTTGTGTGGATGTGGCGCGTCGCTTTGCCACTGGCCTGAACGTCTATCACGTGTGTGAGCGGTTTTCCCTCTTTTTCTCTTCCCTCCCCCGTCCCTTCCCCCCGCCCC